CACTTTTCTACAGACCCCACCCCCACCCCATTTTCCCTCCTAGCACCGCCCACTTCTGAGCTTGCATCCTGAACTGATTCAGGAGGGCGAATGGGCTCCCCCAGAGGTCCCTACACTAGCCCCAGGACAAGAATAATGGTCCTTCCTTCCCGACTCTGGAAGCACAAAGCCCAATAGTTCCTTCTACAGCTGGGAAACTGAGGCAACAGGTGGAACAAATGGCTCTTCCTCCTAGCTAGGCTGGAAGGTGAATCTCTCAACCATCAAGGTCAGTTTCAGCATCTCCACCAGAAATCTGTCTTGCCTGGTGATGCCCACCTCACGAACGATAAAGAAAAATGACGCTCAGGGAGCCAAAGAACCCTGAGCAGATCGCTGAGCTTTGCTTTTCACTCTGCCTCCTTTGAAAACGCCCAGCAGCTATAAACTTACCTCCCTCCCTCACCGACCCCTTTTTCTCGAAAGGTGAACTCGCAGCTTGGTGGGGAAAAGAACTCTCGGGCCAGATGGGCTCCTGTTTGTTGGTTGGCTCTCGGCGCTGCTATAGAAACCTTTTCCCTCCCCCGCCTGCACGTCACGCGCAGATTCCTAGGAAGCTGCCGGAAGAGATCGTGCGGTTGGCGGAGCAAGCCAGGAGGGCTCTCCGTTCAGCGTGCGGGTGGTGAAGGATCTCAACATTCACGGCAACTCTTCTATTGTTAGTGCCGCTTTCTTCTGCCTGGAAATCGCCGAACGGCCACGTGGGCTGGGAATTCGGACAGTTGCCAACACGTCTGAAGGGCTGGCTGGTGGGGATAAGCTTTAAGCAAGAGGTTGCTTAGCAAGCAAAACTCTCGTGTACTAAAGAAATCTATGGCGATCGGAAATGTTCAGCGTTCTCTGAAAGGATCTCAGTACAAGCGCTATTGGGGATGGGGATGTTTCCGTATGATTAGCAAGTGGATTAAATGGTAGTGCCTTTAATGTTTTCTTTCAGCCGAAGCTTTAACGTGAAGATATTGTTGTAAAATCTTGTTTCACAGTGATTCTAATAACAACAGATGCCCCCTTGGGGATTTCTTTTTGGTTTCGTGCCTGATTTATTTAAATAAACAAACAAAACTCCAAAGTGTTGTGAAAAATACCCCATACAGAATATGTTTCTCTAAAAGCTGACTGAAAACAAGCAATTTAATTTATGTATATCTATTCATGGTGATGACAATTATGCCATATTAGTTTTTCTCTGTCAAGCACTTGCTGGCTAATAAAAACAGAAAACATACTTAGAAGTTTCTGTATTTTTCAAAGGGAGATTTTCCTGATTTGCTGTCCTTTTGGCCTGCTGATCTAACTCAACTGATAGTAATGTCCAGTGTGGGTCAACCTGGAAGCAAGCCTTATAGCTTGCAATGAGGCTTGCTCCCAGGTGTGTGTGCGTGTGTGTGTATGTGAAAGGTTGAGTTTGCATTGCCTGGGAGGTTAAAATGTGGCTGATTAGTTGTGCTGCATGTTTGTGAACCCAGTCACATTAATTCATGGTTCAACTCAAATAAGTGGATTAAGAAACTTTTTTTAAATAACAGACCATCATTTTGAACAACTCAAGCTGTGTGTATGTGTGCATTTAAGATTTTTCATCAAAAGGCTAACATTTCATCAGAGAGAAAGCAGCACTGAATATAATAAGTGAGAGGGTTTTTTTTTTTTTTTAATAAACATGTGGGAGCTTTATTTTCCAGGCTGTGATTCTGTCTGCATATCAACTGGGTCAAGTAGCTAGATGGAAAAAAAGGTGCAGATGTGTGACTGCACTTTTAATAGTTGTGTTGAACTGAGAATTTGTCATAAGAAGGTGCAGCCACTGAAATTCCCTCTTCTTCATAATAGAATGTGATCTCAGAATTGAGATGAAGCAGAGATTGAGCAAGCAGTGCTGATTATTTAAGGTACCAGAATTCTGCAGAAAGGGCATCTTTAGTTCTTGTGAGCTGCGGCACTGGCAGAGAACCAAAGCCAGTCATAACTCTACAAACAGATGGACACAGCATCTCAGCTAAACAGTACTCTGGTTGGCCAGTAACCGGGTGTATTGCCATTCAAGTTTACATGAAAAATAAATCCTTCCCACCCACCATATAAATAAATTATTTCCGATACACCAGTGCCTCCGGAGGGGAGAAATAAATTGCAGGTATTTACTTTGCCCACCTTGGTAGCATATCTTCTGATATGATGGTTTTGTATTTTGGTCCCTTTACTGAGTCTTGCTGCACAGCTACCATCCCAGGAGGGGAGGAACTATGGTGAGGGCATGAGGCACTGTTGTAAGGTTGTCACATTCCAGTAAAGTTGCAACTGCTGCACCAACTGAAGTGGGCAAAGCCCCCAACCTAAAGCCTCCACTTGGCCATCAGTAGCCATGAGCCAAGTCATGAGCTGTTTCAGTGGTAGTGCCACTCCATCAAGAAACAATACTGGAGACATCAGAAACCCATGGCAGATAGACAGTCCAGAAGGATACTCAGCATTGAAGGCTACTGAGAGGTCAGGAAGAGCAAGGACCACCCACATCCTGCTCTCACCAGAGTTCATCTAAGAGTGTGATTGATGCCATCTCAGTCCCATCCGAGGCCTGAATCCTGACTGAAAGGGGTCCAGATAATCCAGTTCTTCCAGAGTTCTTTGAAGCTGCTGCACAACCACCTTCTCCACAGCCTTCCCCAAAAAAGGGAAGGTTGGACACTGGACAAAGCGATAGCCTCTTGAAGAAGGGTGGACCGCCACCTCCTTAAGAGATGGTGGAACCACCCCCTGTCTCAAAGAGGAATTAACTGCTACCAAGACCAACCACAAGTCACCTCTCAGAAGGTGTTAGCCAACCAGGAGACACATGGACGTAACACAGAGGTGGCTGAGCTAATACCCTTCAGAACCCTGCCCACTTCATCAGGCCCAACAGGTTCAAATTCTTCCCAGATAACTGAGCCAGACCTCAGCTCAGTAACATCCACAGGACCTGCTACAAAGCCAGAGTCCAACATAGCACAGATCAGATCAACTTTATCCGTAAGATGTCTTGCAAATTCCTCAGCATGACCTTGTAAGTGAACCTCTGAGCCACCCCACCCAGGAGGGCTCAGATCACCCTAAACAAGGCCTCTGAGGATGCATTAAGGGCAAAGAAATATTGACGTTTCCCACCACAGGGTAGCTCCTAATAGCAGCTCTAATTTGTGTTTGGTCAGAGTCACAATGTATTGCTCTCCAGTGGCGATCCACACATTTCTTCACCTGCTTCATATCCCTTAACTCTTCTGAAAACCAAGGGGAGTTCTAGGATTCCTGGGTGTGGAGGGGCTTCTCAGGCATGATCTGATGAAGAGCTCTCACCACCCTCTTATTCCAGATGGCCTCCAGGGCCTTGGTCAGACTGAGCAGCAGACTCTCAGGAACAACCCTAAGCTCCCTTTGGAACCCACTCCAGCCCATCAGTTGCCTGGGATGGACCAATCTAATAGGCTCTGCCTCCCTGCGGTGGAGGGCAGTGCCAGAGAACTGCAGAGTCATCAGAAAATGATCTGACATGGTAGGGATGAAAGAGAAACCTCCCCCAATTTCAGATCACATTGCCACTGCTCCAACGCGAACACCAGGTCAGACGAATGACCCCTATTATGCAAAAATGGTCTGAAGAAGTCCACCCAGTTTGGAGTCTGAGCTCTTCTACCAACAGCACAATAGCACCCTGATACTGTACTCCATAATTTCTTATTTTGAAGACAACTTTTTGGAACCCCATCCCCAACCTATTGCCCCTTCCAGGTCTGTTAAGGCTTCAACTACCAAAATTCTTTGACTGTGTTTAAAATTCTGAGAATTGTAATGTCCACACACTGGGGGGGGGGGGGGGGGGTCACAAGATTGGGGAAAGGTGTGTTCAGGGGTTAGCTTTAGCCTTCTATTTGCCATCCTTGTGGAATTTGGGGAACAATGAGATTATAATTATTCATTATATTTTACTGAATGCAAAATATAAATACATGTTTTACTTCAGATGCCTACAGGGACATGTCTGTGTTGTTTCTTGGCAGTGATACAGAAGTGGTTTGCCATAATGTTTTTGTTAATAGGGGAAGACCTACTCTAGCCCACAGTCCTGAGATTTTTCTGGTAGTCTCCCACACAAGTATTAATGAGGTCTGGCCCTGGTGAGCAAGGCCAGCTACATGCCATTGTATGAGGTTTTGCTTTCTTAAATTAACCCAACTTTAGGGTTTCTCATGATGCATTGAACTATAAACTGGCCACATGAATTGGATTCATAAAATATGGCTAGCTAGTCTGAGATTCAATGCATTGCACAGATGCAGGTTTGTTTAAGCAAGAATTTTCACTCGTTTTTGAAAAAGAAATGTAGACTTACTATGTTTGGAATCAATCCTCTCTCCAAAGTATTTGGTTTTGCCTTATTGCAAGTCAGTGTCTCTGATAAATGAAATGAACAAGTGATGATCATTTTTTTCAAAGTGTGCATTTAATTATTATTTATTATTTTTACATGTATATCTCAGGCTGGTAACCAGTAACTGGCAAGTAATCATATTTATTAATTAGAAAAGAAATCCAGATAATAATAGTAGCATAATACTTTGAAAGAATGCAGGGCAAAAACTGCATGGATGGGGTGGCTCTGCCCCAGATGGACCCAGTGTGCAATCTGGGGGTCCTCTTGGACTCATGGCTCCTGCTGGAAGAGCAGGTGGCAGCTGTGGCTAAGAGGAACTTTGCACACCTTTGGGTTGTGCATCAGTTGCACCCATTCCTGGACCGGGAGGCCCTACTCACTGTCACTCATGCCCTTGTGACCTCCCGTTTGGACTATTGCAATGCACTGTACATGGGGCTGCCCTTGAAGAGCATTCGGAAGCTTCAGCTGGTACAGAATGCGGTTGCCCGGGTTGTAAATAGTGTCGGCTACTCGGCACATATAACACCACTGCTTTGGGAGCTGCACTGCTTGCCGGTGTGTTTCTGGGTGCAATTCAAAGTGCTGGTTGCCACCTATAAAGCCCTTCATGGCTTGGGACTAGGTTACCTTAGGAACTGTCTTTTCCCAGTTGTTTCTACCTGCCCAGTCTGGTCTGGCAGGTTGGGCATGGTCCGGGTCTGATCAGCCAAGAAATGTCGGCTGGCAGGGACCAGGAGATGTGCCTTTTCTGCTGTGGTGCCTGCCCTCTGGAACATCCT